TACATCACTTTCTCTGACTCCTTCCTCTATACGGCTTTATTTATTAAAAGGTAATTGAAGTCAAGAAAAGAATTAGGCATTCTTTTCCAAATCAGATAGACTTTCCTACAAGTCCTTCCTAGAAGTACACTGCCAGCTGATGAAAAAGCTTTACCTCCTTGAAAGCCGAGGACTTGCATGGAGCAGTTGCACTTGTTAACAAATTAGGAGGCAGCCAATTCAGGTATGCAGATTCTGATACTCTTGCTCACAAAGAACCCAGTTTTGTTTAAGTAGTCCTGCTGACCCGGGCAGATATCCGTGACTGAACAAGACTTGCTTCTAGGAGCAAAAGGCGAGCTAGACAGAGGACAATTACGCTAGCATAGTGCATAGTTTCTGCTGTTGCTCAATATATGTCATGCATTTTTTTAGAAGGTAAAGAAACAACTAAAAATAATTCTGCTACGCCGTATTAGGATCTGCTAAATCTTAGATGCTCAACTCATTTAAGCAGGTGGGTCTTAAAGGCTTGCATTTCTAAACACTGAGCTGCAATTCCTCCCTTTCCAAGCCAGTGCACTGCACATCTCCTGTGCTCTACAACACATTTTGTGTTACCTATTCCTATCCCCAAACTATCCTATCCCTCCATGAGCCCTGTTTTGCCCACTGCAATATTTCTATGACCTTTCCAGGCCCCTGAGCTTCATCCTAGGGCAATATGTATGCTATGGTCCCTTCTTCCTGCCTGACATACTTCTGCCATTGCCCTATGCCCATTGTGCCCACTTTTGACTTTTTTTCTTTGCCTGTCAACTAAACAAGACGCTGTTGTGATCACAGATACACCACCTGACTGACTGGCTATTCTAACTGTATAAGCCAAACTTAGAAAGACACACAGAGTCCAGAGTGCAAGTTAATCTACACCTGCCACCAACAAGTCATGGCTACAGACTGGTACAATAAGAGCAATGTTTTCAATTACAGTTTTTTGATTTATAGTAAAAAAAAAAAAAAAACAATGAGCATATGAACAACAAAGTGAAAGCTATATGAAATATTCCCTTGAAGAATTCTGTGCTGTCATCGCAAATAAATCACATTAATTGAACTATGAGTAAATGAAAATAAATAAATGAAAGCTAGCTCAACTGTTTCATAAAGCAAGAACACAGATCTTCATAAACAGAATCTTTATAATCTGTATTCCCAATCTCAATTCACATTGTTTTTAAACTTATCAAGTAAAACTATACAGGAAAGATACATACAGACCTTACTAAGGACTTGTTTGTTAATTAAATCATTTTCTGTACTGAATTCTATTACTTCCGAAACTGCAGTGATTAATTCACCAAAGAATTAAGTTAGCAAGATCTGCGCTAGACATTTTAGCACACACATTACTTATATGTGTAGAGTGTCTAACTATATGAATGTGTAATATGTAGCATGTTTCTGACTTTATTAAGACAGCCTAAGACAGCCATTATTTCCAGATATGCGATAACACTAATTTTCCAGAAATCAGTGCATATCTAAGAAGTTAAAAGTCCTCAAGTCCCTAAAGACTTTGTTAAAACAGCTGGACAAACAACAAATCCTGACTACCTGTGATCCTTCATGAACTGCCCTTCCATGATTCTGTATTTCGTTCACTCAAAAAATAACAGCGGTCCTTTCTATATTTGATTCATTTCCTTCCTACCCTTTTTGTTGTCAGTTATGGGAACAAAGCAAAGAGAAACTTTAAAAGGTCTTGAGGTTTTTTTGTTTGTTTCTTGGTTTTTGGGAGAAAGCTTTAAACCTACAATATTTTTAAGAGTAAAGTATCTCAGCAATCCCTGGAAACACCTTGAAGCATGCCAGATAAAAGTAATATTTTCAGTTTTTTACAAACATAGTTAATTAAAACTGAAGGTAGAGAATATTAGTTTGTTTTTTTTTTTAAAAAAAGACTGATAGCCTTTGAAAATGTCTAACATAAGCAAGCAAGCACTAGAAAATGCCATAAAGCAGAGGTTTTGAGAAGCTCACTACAGTGACAGAAAGAGCATGACAAACATTGTCATGTATAGAGAAGATCAAAGAGAGTAAATCGATATTGAAATAATTTACTAGCAATAAATACAAAATACTGTTCCCTACTCCACATAGTTTCTAGATTATACTCTCCTCAACAATGAAGTCTTTTACAGATTTTTGTAGCAGTCAGGTAGGAAAGAATTTCAGTGACGAGCTCTATCACTCAAGAGAAATATTTAATAAACTGTTTAATTTGGGCCTTTTATTTAAGAAAGCATGAAGATTACGCATTATGTCTCTTTTTCAACTTAAAGAGATTTTTCATTCCCCTAAGATTCTTATCTTCAAAGGAAACCTGTTTCCCCAGATCCCTTCCCCAAGCTTACCACTCACAACCCGAATAGTAGGGAACTTGGAAAACTGCTAAAAGTTTTCCCATTCTAGCTTCTTTGATGCTCCATAGCCACAAATCCTCATCTTTAAGCCCCCATCCCCTTAACCACCCATACACCAACTATCCAGAAAACTTTCTGCAACCTATGAAGAGCTTCCTCTGGAGTCTTTTAATGGATTAATCCTTCACAGGCTAACTGGACTACTAAATCAAACAGAAGCATTCAACTATAGGGGCAGAATAATACATATTTTTTAATTTTTATTTCTGGGCTAGCAGTATTACTTGATTTGCTACAAACACAGCAACCACACACATACTTAATTTAGTATTTTATGAATGTTTCCAATTCTAGTTCGATACAAGAATAAACACTTTTCTGCTTCCAGTCTAAACGCACCGAGTTCCCACAGACACTTTTACTTACCCTTACTCCTCATTTACATTTAGGAATATCTGCTATGTTGTAACAGCATTTATAATATAAAATAGTTGGAATTTGTACTTCCCCACTTTTACTGGCCTATAGTATCATCATAAAAAAATTACTTTCTGAAAAAAGTGACATCCAACTTTTCCACAGCATTCTCTAATAACTAGCATTTGCTTCTTCCCATACAAACACTAAACAATCTTCACCTTACAGATTAGCAATTTGCTGTTTAGCAAAATAACTTTAGTGTATCAATGAATATTTAGAAGATGATAATCTTCATTTTCATTCAGTCTCAAGAGAAAAAGAAATATGCACTGTAATTGCTATAAAAATAGACCATTACTGGCTCAGTTCCCAACTTAATAGCTACATCTATTTTTCAGTTTTTACTTTTATAATAGATTATCCAATACTCTTCACACCTGTTTTTATTAATATTTCATAATTATTTACAGGAAACACTATTGCCTTCTCATCATTTAGTAAGAATGAAGAGGTGAAAGATTTTCTAGGACTAAGTTTTGTCATCTGCTGTCACCTGTAACAAATAACAGTGGGGAATACCTTTAGACAACTAAATATCAGAAGTACAGAAGTGGTTTCCTACAGCAGCCTGGGAATTCAGCAACAGCACGGCGAATATTTTGTTTCTTCCACTGACATAGTCAATGGAACAAAAAAATGCAGCATCGTTCCCAAACGACAACATAATATATCCTTGAAAATTCCTGTGCTGTCTCCGATAACTTAATTATGACAGCTGACTGTGCCTGTGGCTGCCTTTGGGACAGCTAGCACTCAGTTTATTATAGCTCAAAGTGCAGCACATCTTTGATCTTTTCCATGGGTGAATGTTGGACCACACTTCAGCTACGAGTATAGTGAGAGCAAAAAAACCAGTGTGGCTGTAGCTATTTAATAGAGCGTCTTTCCTATCAGTATATCCGTTTACCTAGAAGAATACTGTACGCACCAAATGGAAGTATTTAAGCATGCCCACAATACAGATTAGAGCAGCATAGTTTAGTTGAACATATTGAAACTAGCATATATACCCTTGCACAGGCCTCTCAGTCCTTTCCCCCATCCATACACTGCTCTTTTGCTCAAACTAACGCTGCAGACTTTTTGCCCTTCAAAAAGCAAGGCCATTAGTTGGGTCTCAGCTGAACTTGAACCCCCTGAAAAAAAGCAAGTTTCAATCGTGTTTGGGTGGTCTTCAGCCATTCCACTCATGTTTCAGGTCACCTAGATGTGAACAAACCTCAGTCTGAAAGCCATGGTACTGCTGGTATAGGACGATGCTCTCACAAACGAATTTACTGCCTCAGCTTGAGCACATCATCTTCAGACTGCTGCTGGCAGTGGTTGAACAAGGGAAATCACACAGCCCTGTTTGCAAAAGGTTTGGCAGACAAACCACGAATTGCATTCTGACTTAATTCTCACTTCTTAAGCTTCTGCGTTTAGGAGCCAAATTCATGGCTATTAAGATTATCCAAAAAACTGTTATACATACAAGATCATAAAAATGAACAGTCATTATAATAGTAAATTTCTTTTCTGTTTAATTAGAAATACCATCAGGAAAAAAATATTTAAAAATTCACTCTAAATTCATAATAAGCAGAAAAATACTTTAATTCACGCTAAATTACATAACAAATGCTACTGCATAACCTAATGCAAGAGGGGTTGCATCTGCCTTTGTGTTTACCAAGCACTCAGTGAAATGGTGCAGTCTTCTATCAAAACTAGCACAATCAGTAAGTGTTCACCTCACAGGCAAAATTAATGATTCAGTTGCTGAACAGTTGCTCTAAGTAACAAACATACTGGCATCACATTTATAGCATACCAGAACAATCCCTTCCCACAAGAGAAGGTGCAGGACTTCTACTTTCAAGTTCTTTTCCCTGTTCTATATTGACGGGATTAGCTTGATAAATACTTTCTTCCTCATTTGCTGTCTCCATCAGCAAGCCTAAACTAATCAGGTGCCCCTTACCTGTTTGTTATTCTGCTCCCTGGATGTTAGCTGAGAACTGTGGTCAAAGGATCATCAGAATTTTTGTAGTGCTTGTTTTAAACAAAAAATAACAGCAGCAGCTCTGTTTGGCAGAAAGAGAAGTTAAATTTTCTTTTGGATAAGATACATACCAGTTCCTTTGCTTACATATGGAGGCTTGAAGAATTTCACAATTCCATACAAATTCACTACAGTTCCATCTTTAAGATGATTCAGAGGCGTATACACATATTTTGGTGCAACAGACTGGAAAGACATGACAAAATTTGTGGACAGAAAAGAATTTATTCAAATAAACTTTCCTCTAGAATTCTGTCCGTCCATCAACATCCACATTCAGATATGTTTTACCTTATCTTAAAAAATAATAATTTCTATCTACCCAGTGTCCTGGTAAGTTCTACCTGACCCACTTTAGACTCTAAAGATAAATCCATCGATTGATCCTTCCCCTAAGGCAATGAAGAACCTAAGACCTACATGATTTCCATTTCTTTCTGCAATTACTTCCTTGCTATAAACTAACCAGTCAGTTCAACTGAGGTTGAGCATGCCTGCCTAGGTGAATAAAAGTCATGAAAATAAAGAATACTGGAAAGTTATTTTTTACTGATTGAGTTTAACATTTCCATCCAAAGGGCTTTGAAAAGCAGTGGCAGCACACACATGAATGATTTCTCAGCAGCGTCACTGCACAGAATCTTACAGTCACTGTATAAGTCTTCCTATTAAAATAGCACACTCAGAGCACTAAAAAAATTGAGGGCTACCTTCTACTATCTAAAGACTAATCTAAGGACTACCTCCTACTGTCTAAAGACTACTCTCCCCTCAACTTATGTTTACAGGATATGCTGATTAGTTTCTTTAAGAGAACGCTAGTTTTCCCAAACTAACTGAAAATTGTAGTTTTCAATTACTGGGGGAAAAAAAAAAAAACAGGAAAAAAAATTTAAAAACCCTCCATAAAGCTGACACAAAGCCAAGCTGTATCATCTCCAGTACTGAATCTTTAATCTTATGATAAAGATTAATAAACTCTCATATGCCTATGCCTTTAATATGCTGTTTCCTCTAGATTTTTAATTTAGGTAAGTAAAGTGGGGTTCCAAACAGTAATTAAACAAAATGCACAGACCAATACAGGAAGTCTGATTTTAAATCAAAGGAAGATACATATATTTTTTTTTTTTTTTTTTTTTTTTTTTTTAAAGCATGAGCATATATTTTTCATCAGAATTGAAGTTATCTGGGATGAGAGTAGGGAAGGAAAATAAACAGGAAAGAAAAAGAATTCCACATTCTTATTTACAAGCAATTAAAGTCTTATATGGTTTAAAGATATCTAGAAGAAACTCACCACAGATGCAGTTTCTGAAGCAGCACTTGTGCTCGGTTTAGTATAAATCTAAGGAGGAAAAAAAATGGCAAACTCATTGATTAGAAAATTGAAGGCAGTAAAATATAACAAGATTTGATGATGCTAAAGCAAATATTGCAGAGAATCTTCACTTTTCAATTGTCTTACCTAAATTGGCAAAAAATAAACCAAATAATTTTGCTATTTGAATCAATTTTGACACTACAAAGAATAAAATTGTTATCCTACAGAAAAAAAAAGATATCTATTCCCATTAAATAACATATACATTTTATAAAACAAAAATGTATTTGGTTGAATGTAGGTCAGGTCAGATTAGTAAAGTCAGTATTCAGAAGACTGAGGTCAAAAATTCAAAATATCGACTTGCTTAAGAGGGAACATAAACAGTTTTAGGGTTTGTCCATTTCAATGTTTAGAATAGGCCTATTCTCAGTTACTCTTGTTTGAAAAGATCAAGGTAAAGTCATAACAAAACAGCACAAATTCTCTTCCTAGAGAGTTCTTAGGTCTGGCTACAGTATGACTGTAAGCGCTTATCTTCAGGGCAAGGTCTTTTTCAGAACCAGCAGCGCCGACTGGACCAAAGCCCTAACCCAACACAGACCCACCCTGGAACAAGAAGCTCAGGGCTCAGCTGCCTGCCAGATGCAACAGCAGATCTCTGTGGCAGGGGGCCTTCCTGCCTGCCAGACACAGGGGCCCACGCCACAGCTGCGCACTGGTGCAGCATGCAGAACCCTGTTTGCGATCTGGTTCACTCCTGAAGCTAGATTTCCTTCCATGTATTTGTTTTAAACAGGCGTATAAATAGTTATCATTGAGAAAGTGAAGTATGCAAAAGCTTAGACCATTTGTATTAGTTTTAAGCGGTCAATGTCTGCGTCAGTAATTTAAATGCTACAAATTCCATTCTACAGTCAAGGGAGAAAGGCACCTCCTCAAGATAAACAACACATTCAGTAGGCTGCATCTCTTCACTGGCTTTAGATTGTGTGTCACGAAGCCCTGTCAATATTCAACTAAGGAAAGTGCCTAAAGTTTAGGTAAAATGATCGTCAGCTGCATTTGCTCAGGCTCAGGGTACAGTTTTGCTGTATTTGTTTGTGAATGCCCCAAACAGTTTGTAATATAAACCACTTAATTGTCATTAAAATGCATTCCAGTCTTTAATTATCCACAGAGGTCAATTATGGAAAAAAAATCTTTCTGAAATAAAAAAAATATATTTTCTTTTGCTTAAAATAGTTGTCAGACAGTAATTATACAGACAAAAGTTTGATCCTTGACTTTTGCACAAAATTTATTTTAATAAGACTCTTGTGTGTGAATTTGTGTTTAAGCTTTTATAATTATTTCTAAGTTTATTTCAAAATCTAGATGGTTAGGCTCAAAGTATTCACCATAGTATACTGCTGTCAATGGCATCCAGTGAAGGTGCCTTTTTCTTTTCAAAGAATCACAGAATGGCTGAGGTTGGAAGGGATCTCTGGAGCTCATCTAGTCCAACCTCCCTGCTCAAGCAGGGTCCCCTAAAGCACATTGCCCAGGATCACGTCCAGGCGGGTTTTGAATATCTCCAGGGAAGGAGACTCCACAACCTCTCTGGGCAACCTGTGCCACTGCTCTGTCACCCTCACAGCAAAGAAATTTTTTCTCAGGTTTAGGTGGAACTGCCTGTGTTTCAGTTTGTGCCCGTTGCCTCTTGTCCTGTCGCTGGGCACCACAGAGAAGAGGCTGGCCCCATCCTCTTGACACCCTCCCTTCAGATACTTGTAGATATTGATGAGATTGCCTCTCAGTCTTCTCTTCTCCAGGCTAAGAAGGCCCAGCTCTCTCAGCCTTTCCTCATAGGAGAGATGCTCCAGTCCCCTCATCATCTTTGTAGCTCTCCGCTGGACTCTCTCCAGTAGCGCCATGTCTCTCTTGTCCTGGGGAGTACTCATCAACTCATTTTCATTAACTATAGAATGGAGCTCCCAGCATTGCCTCCAACAGCTTTATACAATGCTATCATGCTGTTTCTAACAGTAGTCTACAATTACAGGGATCAAAAATGTGCAGCACTTTCTCACCAGACACCTATAACTGCTGTGACCACTTTCATAAGAAATATTGGAAACATCCCACTGAAGTACCCAATAAAGTTTCTGAAAGCTTAGTTTCATTCCATCCCTCATCCCTATAGTTAACTACAGGTTTCCAAATAAAGGTGAATATCCCAGGTCCTACTCAAACCTCTGTGACTTTTGATAAGTTCTGAAACTTTTCAGAAAGTACTGTTTCAATTTAAAAAAGAGTAGTAAACATTTCTTGAAGGTAAAGACCTGTTGGCCACAACACACACATGCACTGTTGACGTATTACCAGAGACAAATAGAAGTTCTGCAGAACAGGGTACACACTACTTCTATATCTCAGAAGACAGAAGTATTTAAGATCAGTAGTATTTATAATGAAAACAGCACTAAAGAATATATATTTTCTGAAGAAAATATGGGCTATAGCTCACTTCTAAAAATTAGGAATCTATGAATTAAAATATATAGATTCCTATGATTACACTTTGCCTTTTAAACAAATATAAACTCACAGCCCACAGAAAAATAAAAATCAAAGATTTTAGGCCACTCTTGCACTCTCAGTCTTGTCTGCATTACTGTTATGCACAAAATGACTTAAAGAACTCTAAGGGGCTATCTACAGCTATCTAAGGCCAAATCTCTGCACTCAACACGCAGAAATTTACCTGGGAGGTCAGGGAGATAATCCACCACCTTGCATCACTTCATTACTATGTGCTTTGATACAATGCACCTCTCCTCAGATATAGCCAGTCCTCTCTCTCAGTTTGTCATCTACTACAAAACGTTATTTTTCCATGTAGTCTATTCTCCATAGAGTATTATCAGGAGGGATTTTCTCCTCCCTCATCCAGGCCTGTCAGAGTCTTAGGACAACGCTCACATCTGCAACAACCACTGCACAGAGATAGTACAGATGTTACTTCTAGCTATATCACTTTGAAAAGATGGATGGATTAAAAGATTTTACACACAAACACACCCATAAACCTGGTAGTTTCCTGATGGATATGCTACAGTAATCTGCAAAACTTAAATTCTACTAGATTTTATTTTTTCTCTTCGCAAAGCAGAAAATTAATGATGGTATTGGGAAAAAAAAATCAATAGAAAGTTGGACACCCACGTACATAAATGGCAGATCCAGCTTCTTCAGACACCTCCAGGTGGCAACCATGTCTGCCATCTTCTCTTGCTGTAGGTGATTTTGCCAACTTAAATCCAGCAACTACAAAGGTGTCCTATGGAGACAGGGTGATAAATAGAGGATAAACACTGTACAATAGAGGATAAACACTGTACAGTATCATGCACGCTACTTTAAAAGTGGATGCAATGTGAAATGTCATTCTGTAGGCTCAAGACATTCAAGAAGCAAAAGAAAAGATATTCTAAACACCAGCACAAAGTTTTTCTAGGTAGTTCCTCTATCCATGAAATTCACATTTCCAAACTCTACATTGCCACCAAGTATTTTTTTTTTTCAGATTCTGCTAAAGTTTATAGACGCTTGAGGCTACTGTGACTGAATATCAGTTTTGACAAGGGTTGGAGGGGATATTAAATAAAGAGAGAATAACAACTTTTTGGACATACGAAATACCAACACTTTTTTGTGTAAATCTGACTAAGCTAGAAAAAACATCACACATTTAATTAGTATTAAGAAAATATTTCTTTCTCAGTGCTTGTTTGTGGCATCATAGCTGCACTTCAAAGAGACTCTCCACGTAGATTTGTGCAGTGGGGGGAGCAAAAGACATAATATACTTCTCTGCTGTCAGTCTTGAGATTCTGGCACAGAAATGCAAAAACTACATTTGCCATTGTACTTCTGCTTTGGTATAAAGTTCTTCAGACACCACAAAACAAACAAGAAAAAGGATGATTTAAGCAGTAAAAGACTAAAGTCCCTGCAGTAGCTCACCCTTTCAGTAACAATCTTACAAAAAAAAAAAAAAAAAGCCGGGGGGGGGAGGGGGGCAGAAAATCAAAAATAAGTTTAGGCAATAAAGATGATAAACAAGATATCTAACCAAACAGAAATATAATGCTGAGTACTCTGATACAATGTAAAGCTTCTTCGTAGCTAGCTGTTTTGGTATCAAAACAGTTCACCAGAGTTGCTCCCGTGTGATCCATTTTTGCAAAAAAAAAAAACAAAAAAAAAACAAAAAAAAAACAAAAAAACCCACTCCACATTCATGCAAAACGCCTGAAAACAAACATTTGGGACTCAGAACCTTCTTTCTGCTTGACCTTGTACCAAAAGCCCTTCCATAAGCTTTTACTGCATGACTTCTGTTCATGTGTTTATTTGATTACAACAAATAAAAGAGTTTTCTGATTAAAGTTGACAGTTTTAGCCAAATATTGCACCGTGGTGGCTCTTTTTGCTATTTCAGCAATCTAACAGTGCTACTCTAAATGATTCAGAAGATCCAAAACCTTAATGTTTTGTGCAAGAAAGACTACTAGCTTAAGTGATGGGGATATATTTAGTTATTAAAGGATTTGCCAAAAAAATTGCTTTGAAAAACCTTAAATACAGGAAAAAACTACTTAGGGCATGCTGATTTTCACGTAGTGTCATAAATGGAAATACTAAGTATATTTCAGCTGATAATACACAAGTCATCTAAGTGTAAGATATACTGAGAGCTACACAAATAAGTTAAGTTGTCTAATCATTTTGACCCAATTTAACATTCCTTGGACGTGAAACACTCTACAAACATACATTAAAGTTGTTTCATTCTTTTCAGATACAGATAGAAACATGCACAAAAAATAAACTGCAGGAAACAGCTGTTTTGCAGAAATCAGGTGCAGTATAAGTCTTTGCTCTCACTGTGGCTGACACTATTCATGGTGTTCTTCCAATAGTGGAATCAACCTTAAGCTAAAAAGCTATGCCCTGCTATACATTGCTCCTGTTTCAGCATTTTATTAGATTACTGGCCGCACAAGAGATTGTGGAACTTGGCTGCTGAGTCAGGATTAGAGCTCTGTATAGCTGACTTAACTTGTCTTGTTCTCATTTGTCAGAACAAACTTTAGAATTGCACAAACTCAAGTTAACCAACGCAAATTTTTTTTTTTTTTGTGAGCAGCATCAGATCACTGCTGGCTACTCTCATGTAATATGAAACGTGTAACATGACATTTAAAAGACGTGTAAACAGATATACAATTTAAATAAAGGGAAAAAGTACTAACTTCAAAATCAAGATAGCTTTGTAGGTAAAAAGAACAGGCCTTTTTTCAGATATGTCATTAACTCTGTCAACTTGGACAGGTTGTGACTTGCAGTTCCTAAACCTGCCAAAAAATTTACATAGGGTTTATATAGTGTTTTGAAATTTAGTGCCATAGTAGTTTCAAAAATATAAGTTGACCATTTCACCTTGCTCATGCATGATGTTCTGTAGCTAAAAGTAGTTATTAGGAGATCTCTTATTATAACTGGTTTGGGAATCAAATTCATTCACATAAATAGGTGGATTTTCATGTCAACAGAACAGCATTATATTGCATGCAGATACAAACCGTAAGATTCAACCAATTTTTTTTTTTTTAATATCTAAAAGAAATTATATTTCTCTTACCGAAAAGAAAATAGAACCTTTACATTTTTTGAAAGGTTATTCTATTAGAGAACCAGAAGACCCTTTACAGGGAGAACAGGGAAAACATGGTCATTCAAGTGTTTGAACAAGGGATAACTTGATTTTTTTTTTCCCTCCTTTAGGCTAATTAGATAAAGCTGTTAAAGTACAGTATGGAAAACTACAGAACTGTAGCCTGGAATTTTAGGCTGTAAACAGTACTAAGGCATTGGACCTTGTTGGCGTTACTCTTCTTTAATGGCTAATACTTTCTGCTTTTAAGAATGAATTCCATATCATACCTGCTAAATTGTAACTTCGCTCCTGCTAAATTGTAACTTTGCTAGTTTCAGAACTCATCCCATCCCTTCAGACTCTGATTTTTCCAAAATTAAGATCTCATTTTAGAAATGTGGAAAGCACTGTGAAGATTCAGACCACAGGGTAAAACTGAACACTGATCTTAGCACACTTTGGCTGTCTGAAGTTTGCTGCTTGTGTGTTGTGGTTTCCTATTGTTTGGTAATGATCCTCCTGATCTTCTAATTGCTGCTCAGGGCTTCGTTCAAGATTTGTATTTTTATCAGGACAGAAAAAATAATTAATTCTTTAATTTTAAAATGATTCTGAGGCTTGTATTTTTAGGAATACACTTTTTCAAGAACTTCTTATCCTGGACTCATTGCCAAAATTATATGGAATTCTGTATAAGGACTGCTATATAGTTTCACAAATCTCCTCTTTTATATATATCTGAGGGTTGCGGGGAAAAGAAAAGTCTGCCCCAAACACATCCTACTCAATTTGCTGATCTTTAAGGCATATTTCTTCCTTTAGCATGGCATATGACAAACATTTAAATAAGGCTTTGACTTATAGAAGAATCCACTGAACAATGTCAAACTGAATACTCTCTGACCTCCAGATGTTACCACCCAGTCCAAAGCCCTTCCATTTGTTTCCTCAAGCTCACACGTAACAAGGGGCTGAAAAGAGTCATGCATCAATGTCAAGGTCAATTAATAACACAAATTCTGAATGCGTTCTATTAAAAGGATCGAGGTAGGATTCTTTCAAAAGAATTCAGTCATAAGAAATAACTAACTACACAATCCCTCATTCAGGATTGCTATGTTTTATTTGCTTTTCCGTCACATAATTTGTGCTGGCTGAATGAGACACTAAATGCAAACGGTGTAAAATGTCCTATAGATCATTTTTTGTTGTTATCATGCAGGCTTCCTATTTAATTGACCAGACACTATACAGGTATTGCACACTTCTGAAGACCTGTCACCATGCTACCTGTCAAAACAACCACTTCTGGCTAGAAAAAGTTTCTTAGATTCAATGTTTTCTTTAAAAACGCAGTGCTATCTCATTCAGCTAGAGACACAAGATCAATTAGCTGCTGATGGAAACCACATGGTAAATAACACCAGAAAAATTCCTGGAGGTACAACAAATTGCATAGTTAAATAAGACTTCTGAAGGATATAGATTTGTTAAAGATATAATAAACATTTCTAGTTTAATATTCTAGTTCACAAATTATGCAAGTCAAAATTAGGCTAGATAAGAATGACAAAAAGAAAGGTGTGTACATAGGGTATATGTCAGCTTCTTCTGTTTCCGTGTGAGGATTTTTGCCTGTACACACGATTCTGCAACTTTTTAAAAAAAATACTCAATCACAACTATAACTTCAAATAAATTTCTTCAACTATATGCTACACATGTATAACACTTATACTTTTTTTAGCAAGCTTTTTATGGAAACAAATTTCAGAGTCATGTTGCCAGTCTGTCATACTCATTCTGTAACTTCCAAACCTCTTTACTGACTTGAACCAAAGTTGAAAAGGGATAAAAACCTCAAGAATAGTTACATCTCTGCTGAAAAAAATGGGTCAATTAATATTTTTCTTGGGTAAAATATGTTTTCTACCTATCTGAAGAGGCAGCCAATGTATAAACATCACCTGCTATTTGAGGATTGTCTACATGGTTTAAAAAACAAAAAAAAGAAACTAAATTTCCAGTTCCTTCTCTCAAATCTATACATATACACAGACAAAAACTAAAAAACCCAGATCTGTATTAATTAGTCTGATTAACAATGTTTAAGACACAAGGGATTCGAAAATGTTCAGTGTCTGAAAACTAATTATATAGTAATTATAATATAGGTCACTATATTTCATGTAAGCGCCTCAGCTCTAATTGCAGGTGTATTTCTTGAAGTTATCAGCTTCAGTCCCATCTGTCTCATGAAGTGATGCGTGCACCTTTGAAAATGACGCTATTTCAGGTATGAGCTACTGTCCAGAAACAGCAAAATCACTCTCAGGGAATAA